CTACGATGATACCTTTAACACCATCAAACAACAACAGCTGCCTATCCCAGGTCCTTGGGAAGGACTCAATAGGTGGATAAAAATGCCAGATCCAGTCTAAACATCTGGCTGACTGTGCGACCAACAATAACAACAACAAAACAATATTCTTCATTTACATAATGCTTCTCTATTACATTAAAAAATACAATTTAGTAAAAACTTTTCGAGGTCTAAGAGTTGTATATAGTGCTGAGGCTTTAGGTTGTGCACCTGCAATCTATGAATAATGAAGTAATTATCTAAGATGGCTGAGTCAAATTATGGCTTCTAGAGGGAGGGGGCACATAAATCACTTTTAAGTCTGACAGCATCATCCCTTCCCTCAAGAAAGCATTCTTCACTTCTAGCATCTAGCCTTGTCTTCTCTCTGGCAGCTTGTACCAGCCAGGAAAGATAAGGAACTGGCCCACAGGTGGCTGAGCTCATCCTACAGAGAACCCTGTTCACATCTTCACAGTTCACAGGTTGAATGGAAATGTCGTATTTGCTCTTTGTTGTTTGCCAGCATTTCTCCAGATCTTTTTTTGGCATTTTCCTCCCTTTAGTAAAATGCTGTGTGCAATGAATATTACTTTGGGATATTGTTTGTGTAGAGAATATAGTTGATGACAGTGAAATAGATGCAGCCTTGCACCTTTCAAAATATATGTTGTTTAATGCATGCATTAGTAAAAGGATACAATAATTGATGTACTATATCCTTGAGGGACATCATTTTTCCTTTTGATGCTAAAGTGGTACAATATGCTTCGTATTTTTCAAGCATTTTGTGCAATAATATTTGTGATTTAAATTCAGGAATGCCAGTGGCACATGGCATAATGGGGAGGTGGAGAAACTTCCCCTTGAATTCAGTTGTTGCATATCCAACTGAACTATTCACCAACTTTCTAGTATTTACAGAGGTGTGTGTGGTGCTTGAATATGCCTCTCTTGAATTAAGGGCACAAATTTAGCAGTGGCACCTAAAGGGAGGTAGAGAAAGAACAATGCTAGAAATTTCAGAAGCAGGTTGTTGCTCAAGTAATGTGGCGAAGAAAGAGAAAGAGGGATGAGGCACACCAGGAGCACTGTCAAAAATTGCACGGAGCTTTCCCCCTCACTTTGTGCATGCTTCTGTGGCATTCCCAGGCAAAGAAGGAACAAACTTTGATACTTCTTCCCCCTTGTCTGTGCAATGCATTTTTGTTTTAATTGTAACCATCCCAGCTCTACACTGTGTGCACAATTATTTGGCAAGTTGTATTTTTGAGGATGAATTTCATTATTGAACAACTACAGTGCTCTCGGTCAAT